GTGCTCGGGTATGACCTCGGGTCGCCTCCGGGTATTTGCGGGTAAGTTTTAACGACGTTGTTCTTGACGTAGTCGAACAAAATAGCACGATTGTTGGCGAAAATGAATAAGTTGCCATCCACGTTGAGGAAAACAAAAGGGTAGAGATTGTTTTCGGCGTCTGGGTCATTGGTCTGCACGAGGAACGGCAGACTGAAGACTTTGTTTGTAGACGCGCTCTTGGGATAAAACTCGTAGTTGAACTGCCGCCTTCCGCCGATGATGATCTGGCGTCCATCGGGCAGAATATGATCGGTGGCGTACCAACGGCGAGCGGCTAAGCCGTTCTCGATCTCCTTCCAATCACAACCGGTGCAGGGCTCGAAGATCCTCACTCGGCGCTCGCCGTTGGTGAATCCGCCGGTTTGGATGAGGCGGCCGTCGGGGGCAACGGAGCCAGAGGAGCACCAGACGTCGCTTAGCAAGGTGAGGGGGCGAAAGGTGTTGGTGGTGACGTCGTACTCTGCGGAGTGGGCGGTGCAGTCGTTTCCGACGCATTTACCATCGGGCAATGACAAGTTGGACTTGCCGAAGTCGGTGCGGTCGAAGAGGACGACGCGGTCGTTGTGGAGGAGCTGCATGTGCATGGCGGAGATGCCGATGTTTTGTTGCAACAGTTGCCATTTGCCTCCGGCAGCGTGGGTCGGAGGAGAGATTGAGAGGAGGAGGAGGAGGAACGTTGAAAGAATGAGAGTTGGGTGCTTCATTCTTTGTTTCTTGTGTTTTGGTGTTTTTGAATATCTTAAAAGGGTGCTTTTGGCGCTGTAAGTTGCTTGTAATTGTCTCAATGTCTGGCCGTCTTTAAATACTCGACGGAATGGGAAGACAGAGCCACCGGCAACGCATGCATGACGTATGCAAAGGAGTGGGACCCACAAGGTTTGCGCTTAATGAAAACGACTGTTGTTATAGTTGAAGAAGAGAGCAAAGCAACACACAAACACAAAATCTATCTCATCTCATAGAGTAGGAATGCTAGCTAAGCTTGCTAAGCTAGGTCTGCTTTGACTTCCGTTCTTTCGTTTTTAAATCATTTGATTCGTTGGTTGATGCAACTTATTTCGTCTTTTTTTTTTCTGTTTATTGTAAATGTGAATATTCATTTTAAGGCATATTATATATTATGGATTATATCCATTGCATTTGGTATATAATTAATATATGGTTAGGTACTTAACAGAATGATAAAGAAATATATACTATATTCCAGTAACTATATATAATATCACGCCTTATTTTGGTCAAAGCTCCCAACGATCAGAACGTTGCCGTTTTATACATTATAATCAATCTTACTTTTTGGTCATCTCATGCTCATCTCAATTGAATGCCCAGTATACACGTGCAACAAAGAGGCTTTTAAGTTTCAGCTAGTTTAGCATGAACAGCCATATATATATACACTCAAATCGTATCTAAATTGTCCTCTAATCACTTTTTTCGAGCTTTTCTCTCTGACTTGATTCTCCTACGTCCATTTAGTCGGCCAAACTTTTACGCGATTTCTTTAATTAATGGCTTTAGGGTTTTGTTATGTCTGTTTGTAATGAATTAACTCATTCTTAATCAGTTTGTTATTAATTAACTCATTCTTAATTTGTTGGTACTCATGGATTTACTTGCACTCGTTTTATTTTTTACCAATGGATACGTACGTGTTGACCTAACATATAGTTTGGTTGGGTCAGTCTCTTTCTATCTGGTTTCCATATGTTGTAAATAAACAAGAAGATACATGAGAACCTAATTAAAATGGCATTTTTTTTGCCGACAATGCCGAGGTTTTTTTATATAGCTACGGGCCGGCAACATGGTAGTTCCTTCGTCCCAATTCTGGCCTACAAAATGAAGAATCTAATTACTTACTTCAGGCTCTGTGGAAAATGTTTAATTCTTTTCTAGAGAAAAATGGAAAAATACTTGGTTTTGTGATAATCTCGGGCTTTATTTTATGGCATTGATGATGCATTCAAATTGTTTTAGATTAACTGAGTGGATAATCAATCGCTCATGCCCTTGATTTTAATTATGATTTAATTATCAATATTATAAATATAAATTAGCAGGTGGACGTTGAAACTTAAAACCAATATGCTAATCTGAATTATATTACGAAATCAATTATATGCTGGTTTCTTGCTTGACTTATCGAAAGATATGAATTAAATTTCTTTTTAAAAGTATCGGATTATTTAGAGGCGGACGCTACTTTCTTTTTCGCAATGAGGCAAGACAAGTAACTGACGGCAAGCTTTAACTTAGAATTCAAAAAGAAATTCCTATATATGTAAAAGTAGTTTTCTGACCTAATTACTACCAAGACATGATGAAAAAATGACTTGGAATTCGACTCATTACAGCATCAAATCTTGTCTACGAAATAATTTATTTTTAGGGTGCATGCTAGCTACAAAGGTATACGTTGGTTCGAATCAGTTTAATCTCTTTCGGTGCTACAGCTACTGACATGACAAACTGTAAAGAAACAGATTCTGCACAAATTGTGTTTCTCTTCAAACACAGCATGCATCTCTGTACATGTTGAGCTTCTGATATACGAAAGCATTTTGCAGAAATGCATATGTTTTCTGATTTTTTTATTTTTTATTTTTTATAATAAAAGAGGACAATGTTTATCCATTTTTGCGTCGAATAGATTGGTTCAATTAGAAAAAGACAGGTTCCAATTTTTTTATTGTTACAAAAAATGAGTCGATCAATAATTGTTTGATGCGGTTGGTGGACACATTCTTTCAATCACTAAACTTAAAATAAGAAAACTGCACGTTATACTTGGAAGTATATATAATATTCCGTGTCTGAATATTCTCAGTTTGGGTATCGTTGAAGTTTCCTTCCCTCCTTTTTATTTTTATTTTTATTTTTATTTTGTTGCTGATCATTCTTTCTTAATTAATTATTAATTCCAAGGACCAAATTAATTAATTAATTAAACAACCAAACCAAACGATTAATTCACGTTCGTTTAAAAAAAAAAAAAAACACGATTAATTCATGAACCTGAAAGAATGAATATTAGCCGCCATGTCCATGCCTGCTTGTTAACTACCAAATTATACAAGCTATAGTCAAACCTTTGATTCATGAACCTATATCTACAGGCACCAGAGGCATTTAAACCATTTCTGGTTCACCAGCAGGAGACAAGACAAACAGCTGCTGTTTTAAAACCTTCCCTAGAAAACGTTTCCAACGCAGGACATATAATTAAACTCGTTTTTCCATTTCGATAACCATCATCCACGGACATCCAATTCTCTCACAGCTCAGCTTCAAATGATTTCCGTCAATTAACTTGTTAATAAAAGTCAACATTTCTGGTTTTCTTTTTCCTCTTCTAATTGGTTCACTTTGCTTTCGCTTTGAAGATCAGAAGAAGGATTAGAAGGTTTTTGAGATATAGCTAGAAAAGAGTTAGGTAGGCACTCTATTTTCTTTTTTCCACCCAAGCAACACGGTTCAACTTGATGGAGTAATTAACATTAATTATATGACAAAAGCAGGTTCCGGACGTCTTATCTTCCTGGCGTATCTTATTTGAAATACGACTCTGACTCGCTGTTTCTAAAAAGACCTTTTAATCACTGTTAAACTCGAATACTAGAAGCATTTTCATTTTCTTTCTCCTTGGAGAAAAATCTTTAGGTTTAAGGAAAAACGAGGACTACGAGAGCCAACTTTAGCAATCTGGCTGTAAAGAAAATGTCTTACCACTAAGGTCAAAAGCGTTCGGCGATAGATGTAGTTTAATTCATGATGGCTACTTCCTAATTAATTGTCTTGTAATTTCTCCTTATGTATAGCTTATCCGCATCAGTTGCTTCGTTCTCCAAATTAATCATCCCTAAACCCTTTGTCAAAACAATAAGCTATACACGCAACGCAATATAGAATATTCTGATCCAGAAGGGAAGTGATGATTGAAAATTTTATTATATTTGGGCCATGAAAACGAAATCAGATTTTCGATCATATACCTGAAAACAAGATAATGATATTGAATAGCACATGGTAATGAACGACGACCCCATCATCACCCAAGCGACATCAATAATGCAACTGACTGCTTACCAAAACAAACCGGGACAAGTTTTTTCAGGCAGACCAGCTAACAGAGATATACAGCATTAACTAAACAAAACAAGGCCATGCTTCGTGTGGAAGGATTTGAAGCCGGTTTTAAACTTTTGGGTGCCTTGTGGAAGAGGGCAAGGGCTTAGGCACATATTATCTGAAAACCACATGATTTTTGTACCCAAAAATAGAAAACCACATGGTTCACATTTCTGAAGCTCAGTTATTATGAGCCCATAACTCCAAGGGACGACTCATGTTGCATGCCCATGCACTCAAGTTTGAATATTCTCTATATAGATTAGAATAACTTAGAGTAATTTACACAGTTGCTTACATTAAAAAATATACAAAGACTCAATTAGTAATAATCACGAGGGAGTTAGTAATATTATTACATAAATATTGCAAGAAAGCCGACCGACAATTTGGAAAAATGGAAGCCAAATCTTGAGGTAGAAATTGAACTTTAGGGTCAGCCCCTAAAGAGATCAAGAAGAGGAAGTAAAGAAAGCTGGTTATGAAAAAATTCATAATCTATGTGCAACTTCTTTCCCCGGCTGCTGCATTGAAAAATATTTCAAGAGTAATTGATAAAGTCAACAACGGGTCCCCTTTCTCTTGTGCAAAGTAAGAGAGATCAAATTATAAACCTCCCCAGCATGGCCAAGCCAATCATTGCTTTGTATATCAGAGGCCAAGAATGTGGCACCGCTATTCGATGCCATTGGATTCGAGGATGGCCACCAAACTAAATGTACAAATCAAATCAACGCGACCTGGCCCTTTCTTTTGCGTCTGAAAGCCTGCGAGTTTGGTTCTGTTTTTCAATTACGAACCTGCAGGCAGCCATCAAATTACATAACAGTCCAAAATGTCAATTTTTTCTCGGGCCTTGTCTGAAACAACAGAAAATTACAGAAGGAGAACACATATTTCATCCCAGCACAGGGCTCTTGTAGGCGAGTAACGTCTTATCTTATTGCTAAATTGAAGGTCTAACATCTTATATTTTTCCTAAAGAAGCAATAATCCATAATTTAAATGAATTTAATCTAAACTTATGCACACAAACGGTAATGATACTGATTATTGATGCTCTTCTATTACATTATAGGGAACACAAACTCATTTCCACTTCAGGACCACCATATCATTTCAAGTTCGAGGAGGATAAAGATCCCACAGTGCCACCGTCCTATCTTCTGATACAGATGCCATTAGCTTGCAATCGGGTGAATAAGAAACAGCATTACACTGCCAAAAAAAATAAAATAGAAAGGAAATTTGCAAATAATCAGGCCCTCAGAAAGATGAAGCAGCTCTAATTAGACACCTTAGTCATATATAGTAGGCTATGTACCCGCTGACTACACTTCTTTTCTCCAACACCTAGTAACTCAAATTAGAGAAATGAATGCAAAAATGACGAGAATGAGAATCTTTGGATTTAGATCTTATGCCAATAGGAACACTATACCGTTGCACGGTGATACTTCAATATCGCCAGAGCATTGCCTTTGCGATAGTTATATACTCTCACTCTGCCATCAATAGGTAAAATGAAAAAGGGGCAAAAAGAAAAGACATAAGAATGCAGATCGGCTTTTGTCTTTGTAAATTAAGACTAACAATTATGAATAAACTACAAAATATCCTTCAAATCTCAAACTGAAGGTTCCGTTCCCAACCTGTGGTCCCAGCCAGCTGTTGCAAAAATTTTACCATCAGATCGAATAGAAGTGCTCGATATGCCAGGTCGTTCCAAACTAATTTCTTTCTTGATCACACACGTACCCTAGGTTAGAGAGCACAACATCAAAGAAAAAGAGATATGAAATAAGAGTTAGTTTTTCTATTAGAGTATACTGAAACAACAAACAGCCAACAAAGAATGCATATCTATTAGAGTATGCTGTAGCTAGTCAGTTCCTTTCACACCAATTCTTCATATAATTGATAGCTTTCTGCTTAAATATTGAAGGCAACTAATTTTGTAATAATAACTATTAGATCAAGGAAAAACACTACAAACATATGGCGAACACTATTTACATTTTATTTGGCATACAGCCTCCAGTTAAAGTTGTTGGTGACTATGTTTTGCTTCCTCAGTTGTTTCCTAGGCTTGAAGAGGCTGATCTTGCAGGTCTAAGTTATTCTTTTTCTGTTGAAGAGATCAAGAATAGTGTGTTTGTTATTGGTAGATTAAAGACCCCAGGACCTGATGGTTTCCCAACTCTGTTCTACCAAGATTATTGGGGGTTTGCTCTGATGATATCATTTCCTTTGTACAGGATTGCTTTCATACTGCCACCCTTCCTGATCATTTAAATGAGACTCTGATTGCTTTGGTGCCTAAAGTGGAGAGGCCTATGTCTATGAATCAGCTTAGGCCTATTAGCCTTTGCAACACTCTTTATAAAGTGGTCTCTAAAATCCTTGTGGCTAGGCTTCGGCCGTGTATGACTAAGCTTGTTAGCCCTAGTCAAGTTAGTTTTGTCCTAGGGAGACAAATTACGGATAACATTATTGTTGCTCAAGAAGTGCTCCACAAATTTAAATCTGCCAAAGGGAAGAAGGGTTTTATAGCTTGGAAAATTGATTTATCCAAAGCTTATGATCGTATACAATGGTCCCTTATTAGGGAGGTGCTCTGGGAAGTGGGCATTAAAGGAAGCATTTTGGAGTTGCTTATGCAGTGAATCACGTCTGTACAGTACAAGGCCATTCTTAATGGGGAGCTAACTGACTCGTTCTCTCCTCAGTGTGGTATTAGGCAGGGGGACCCTCTTTCCCCTTATATCTTTGTGTTGTGTATGGAAAAACTCTCTCATCTCATTCAACAAAAGATTCAAGATAGAGCTTGGAAATCTGTTCAGATTTGTCAAGGAGATCCTCATATTTCCCATTTGTTCTTTGCTGATGATTTAATCCTTTTTGGGGAAGCTACTATTGATCAAGCTTGGTTTATGAAACAATGTTTGGATGATTTCTGCCAGTTGTCTGGTCAGCGAGTTAGCTTTGAAAAGTCTATGATATGTGTTTCCCCAAATACTTGCTCTGATTTGGCCAATTCAATTGCTGCGATAAGTGGTTCTCCTCTCACTGCTACCCTTGGTAAGTACCTTGGTGTCCCTCTTATTCATACTAGAGTTAATAAACAAACATATCAAGAGGTTATTGCTAAAATTCAAACGAGATTAGCTTCTTGGAAAAGCCATACGTTATTTATGGCTTGTAGAATGACTTTGCTTCAATCTGTTACTCCTGCAATTCCTATCTACACTATGCAAACTGCCAAGTTGCCTATGTCTGTCTATGATAAATTGGATCAGCTCAACAAAAAATTTCTTTGGGGGCATACCAATAATACATCTAAAATCCATCTTGTCAATTGGGAACAAGTTTGTAAACCTAAGATAGTTGGTGGATTAGGCATTAAAAGGTCTGCTTGGATGAACCAAGCTCTTTTGGCTAAGACTGGATGGAGACTTCTTCAACATGAGCAAGGTTTGTGGTCTCAGGTCTTCTATGCTAAATGCCCCACTCCTATTTTAAGTGGATAAAATAAGAGAAAAAGGAGTGGGGAAATCACCACTCATATTTAAAACACCAGAACATTTTAGCTGTGAAGGACTCTTATTTTCCTTGTAGCTCTAGTGTCTGGAGGGGTGTCTTATATGGTAATTCTGTCCTTTCTAAAGGTGTTAAGTAGAGAGTAGGTTCTGGGGATAATGTGTTATTTTGGACTGATAGGTGGTTGAGTCGTGGTCCTTTGTATCAATATGCTCTCATTGATCTCTCCGAGGAAATGCTTCAGTTGAATGTTTGTGATTTTTTGGAGGAGGGGGTCTGGGACTTTAACTGTTTAAGGGAATGTCTTCCTCTTCATATTATTCAGTTAATTTTAAGTGTTCATGCTAGTTTTAATGGCAGTGGGGCTGATAGATGTATTTGGCAGTTCACGCCTAATGGTTCTTTCTCGGTAAAATCAGCTTATAGTTCTTTTTTACCTACTGAGGCTTCAGTTAAATGGGACTGGCAGTTTATTTGGGGGTTGCTGCTCCCTCCTAAGGTTAAAACTTTTCTTTGGATTGTTTGTCATCAAAAGTTACTTACTAATGTGCAAAGGCAGAAGAGAGGTCTCACTCAGGTTCCTACTTGTCCTAAATGTGATTATCCTATGAAGGCTATTGCTCACTTGTTTAAGGATTGTCCTTTCTCTTTGGCTATTTGGAATTATCTTCAAATTGGAGATAATTCTAGCCTTGATCTGATGGATTTTAAAGAGTGGCTGTTAAGGAATCTTCAATCTAAAAGAAAGGTTTATAATGGGTTGCCTTGGCCTCTGGTTTTTGCTCTTTATTTGTGGTTTATCTGGAAATGGAGATGTAAAGGAGTTTTTTATCAGAGGTTTGTTATGCCTGGCAATCTGCAACAATTAATTCTTCAGTATGCTTTGGAGTGGTTTAATGCTACCAAACCTCCTCCCCCTTCTTATGTGCCATATGTTGTTCAACTTCATTGGATAGCTCCTACTTATGGAGTTTGTAAGATTAACACAGATGGAAGTCGTAATAGTGTTTCTAGGTTTATTGGTGTTGGTGGTCTCTTAAGAGATAATTATGGTGCTTGGATTAAGGGCTTCTCTGTGAACCTGGGTGTTGGTTCCGTTCTTGAAGCTAAGTTGTGGGGCATATTTTTGGGGCTTCATTTGGCTTGGGAGTCTAGCTTTCGTTTTGTGGAGGCGGAAAGTGACTCAAGTGTGGCTGTGGCTCTTCTTTCTAGCTCTACTATTTCCACACACCCCCTGTTCAGCCTTATGAGTTGTTGCAAGTTAAAGGTTCAAGCTGGTTGGAGATTTTCAATTAAGCATATCTTCAGGGAGCAGAATGTGGCGGCTGATGTCTTGGCTTCTAAGAGTTCTGAGTTTGGCCCTGGTGTGCGGTATTTTACTGAGGTGCCTGCTTTTCTTGTGAATTGTTTGGCTGTGGATGCTATTGGGGTGTCCAGGTCCCGTGTTATTTGTGCTTAGTTTGTTTGTTCTGGGCTATTAGCCTCTCTTGTTACCAAAAAAAAAAAAAAAAAAAAGATTGGCATGTGAAAGTTAACATTTTCATTTGTCTGTTAGTTCAACTTAAACATCTAGGAACTGCCTCTAATGGTCAGAGGCAGGGAGCTTGTAACACATCTAGTACTACAAACTTATGAACATGCATACGTTACCATGGAATGATCCAAACTGTACAGCACAACTTTGTCATCTGCGGCTCCTGAGACACCACCATTGCATGACCCGTCAGCGCATAGACTTAGAACTGCAGATAACACAAAGAACATGCCTTAGTTCAAAGGGAAAATGAGGAGGAAAAACACATGGGGATTCTTCAGATTCTATGTCCCACACCTGGCTCTGAATGAAACTTGACAGAGGTCAATGGAACCCCTGGATTTCTAATATCCCACCAAAGCATGGAACCATCCTCATAACTGTACCACGTAGAATAAAGAAACAAAAATCACAAAACACAAGCCAAACTGAGGAAAAATCACAAAATTTTGGCCTCGAATTTCAATTGCTGAAACCCACTAGAGAATAATCCCGCTTCAATGATTATCAAACTTGAGAATATGGGTGCACGTCAAACATCTCAATCCAAGATATCAAGTAGTACAAATCTTGTCATTAGCATAGACTAATGTACCTTTGTATACTATTTGGGGCAAAAACCTCTGGAGCAACTAAGCTCACGGATATACTAAATTGATAAGGTACTCAATTTCATAAGTAGAAAATGAGAAGAGAATAAGAAAAGAGGAATTTACCCAACCAAGACATTTAGGAATCCCTGTGATTCAGATGGTGAGAATGCTTGAACCGCCATGCACATTCCTGTCAAGAAACAAAGTCTATATGTTAAAAGTAGATGAAATGACCGGAATGGATGGAAGAAAAGAGATAGTCCAAACAACATAGTCTATAACTGAAGCACAACTAAATTCTGGAATCAGAAACTTACCTCTCTCTGTGGTAGATATTCCTGAGGAACCAGCAACGCAGCTTTGAGGTAGCCGTGCAAACCTTTCTGCAGTATTAAGATCCCAAATCTCAACCTTTGCAAATCAACAGATGAATATAATGAGCAATTGGAAACTTTAAAAATGAAAACAAAAGTAAACTTAATCAAGGTTGCATATAGACCTCAGAAGGCTGCTCCCCTGCTACAGCGACATATTTAGGTCCCTCAACTTGAGTATTTTCTGTTTCAAAATTTTTGTCTATCATTATTCTAGTTTTTAAATTACCTCAAAGCAAAAAAGACAACATCAAGAGTATAATCTACAAGAAACCAGTATACAAACTCAAATACTAATAGATGGGAGATTCTCCAATAAGTATTTAAGTTAAGGATTAGTTAGAAATTTCTAATCTCGGACGTTGGATTGCATTCATTTTGGTAGATTTAAAATGCAACATAAATGTAATCCAACGGTCGAGATTATAAATATGTAACCAATCCTTAACATAAAATACTTATTGAAGAATCTTCCCTAATAGATATATCTAAGTCCCTTGTCACCTGAGAGAAAGTAGCTAAAGTGCGTGTACATCTTTTCTGGTCAGAACATCAATTTCAACAAACCTTCAAATGTGCTGGACTGCTCAGGCAGATACTCTTGAAACTTTTCTCTGCTATCGTCTAGAGTATCCGCGTCAGCATTCTCCCTAACCCTTGTTTCATCACTGTCATTATGCGTAGTCCCATAAACTCTCTTAGAACTAGAATGAGGTCTCTTCACCAAGGAAAGTTTACAAAAGTGGTAAGAGTTTGTCTTGATTGTAACAGAAGGTGTCCTGCCAAGATGATATCAAAGTGCAAGATTGATGAGCTAATTAGCTAAAATATAATGTGGGTCACAAAAATATCTAATAGCTAATTAGCTGAGAACCTGGACAGACCTCCATCTTCAATATCCCAACACTTCACTGTTCCATCCCTACCCTGGCTACATACACCAACATTTTCAAATTCCAACTTTAGTTCAAAACCCATAGCCAATAAACGAAATAAAAATAGGAACAAGTTTTTTTTTTTTTTTTTTTTTTTAACAGACACCTGATCACTTTATTGGCTCCAATTGAAGAGCTACAAGCAACAGAAGCAATCCCCTGTGCAGCATTATGCACCCTGCAATTTTGTATTTATTTTCTATTTCCAAACAACAAACACCAACTCATTAATTAGAATAAAAGAAATTAAAGTGTGTATATGAAGTACCCTGCTGATAATATAGTCCGATGCTGGATAGTGTCCCAAATCCGCAACTCGCCGTCTGCGGAACTAAAACGAAGAAAAAGGTACTTGATTTGATCAAATTGGTACTAATATTAAAGATGAAATAGTAGAAGAAGAGGGTAAGCTGGAGAATAAGTATATTGAACTGGTACCCGGTGCATAGGAGAGGTTGGGATGGATGAAAACAGAGGTCCATGACAGAGGCGCGGTGACCTCTCAGCACAGCCACTGGGTCCGGTGGCGGTCTCTGTTTGCTCATTGGACCTGCTTCTTCAATAAGCAATGCGCAGTCACAGACTGTAGCTATAGTACTAGAGGGATGTGCTGAGTACACGACCCGACGGGGTTGAAAGGGGTTTCTCCTCTTTTGTTTTTGGTTTTGATCAAGCTTCCTCTTTTGTTTTTGTTTTTTTAAATATGTTTACAACGATTTTATGTGTAATGGGCTGTTTGGGTTTCAGGCCCAGTAAAAAGATGACTATTTGGATCTGTTTTGTAAGGCGACAACTTAGGGCTGTTTGGGGAACTGACATGTCCTATTTGGTAAAGCCCATTAATTGGATCCATGCCTAATAAAAAAGGACGGTAATTTTTTTTATTTTTTTATACCTGAAGCAGTTAAGATCATTTACCCCTTCATTTAAGGTCATGTATTCGAATCTCTCTCCCTCAATATCTCTTGTATAAAAAAAGACTTATAATAACATTGAGGGGAGTTGAAGCCAAAAAAAAAATAGTAAAAATTTCATACTTCTTGCTAAATATGTAAAAGCATACATGAGAATAAACGAATTTGTTTATAAATTAAAAAAAGTATAGTAATTAATGATTGAAGTATTATTTATCCAAAAGTGTCGCGACCATATAATTAGGGTTTATTGATCTTAAACCATGTAATTAACAATTGGGAGTTCGTATGAGTTGGTATTACGCCAATGTATACATATAACCATGAATGAACGGGGATGAAGGTTCCAAACACAAGACTTAGTTTAATGATATATTGATCCAAACTAATACATGAGTTTGCATAATGGGGTTATCCCTTAATTTTGAGCGAATTTTTTTATACCATAATACCCTTGTGAACTTTAAATATAAATTTCACATTAGTTATTGATTTTTTGTTTTGTTTGAAAGAAGATGTTATATTTTGGGTGGTGGTGAAGTTTCAACATGGTTTCATAATAGTATAGATTTATGGTTAATGACCTAAATGGTCATCAAACTAATGCTCCAGTATCTTTTTGGTTCACAAACTAAAATTTTCAATTCAAACGTCCTTAAACTTTTTATTTTGTACTAAAATGGTCCATCCGTGACAGATTCCGTCACTTCTGATCACGTGATGGCCACATGACTGAGTTTTGAAGGGCATATGCCACTTTTTGATAAGCTCTGTCGAAGGGTGTGGCTGAAATGGTCCCTCAACTATTGCTCCAGTATCATTTTGGTCCATTGTAACATCCCACATCGATCAACGGAGATGGGGTGATGTGCCTTATATGTACATGCATGCCTCCATCTTGCACGAGGCCTTTTGAGAGCTCATTGACTTTGGAGTTATAAGAACTCTAAAGTTAAGCGAGTTGGGACTAGAGCAATCCTAGGATGCGTGACCCACTAGGAAGTTGCTCGTGAGCTCCCATAAACAAAAACGTGAGGTCAGAGAGAGGGCCTAAAGTGGACAATATCGTGCTATGGTGGAGCCGATCCCGAAATGTGACATCCACCAACTAAAATTTTCATTTGAACCGTCCTTCCACTTTTTTTTTTAAATTTATTTATCAAGATGGTCCTATCATAAAAGTCCGTTAATTTTATTGTTATTAATTTTTGTATTTATCTTATTTTAAATTTTTTAATTATTTTAAACAATAGAGAAAAAAATATTAATTTTTAAGTCCATGTCATAAAAAAGAAGCCATGTTGGTGGTGAGATTCAATTGTTTCAATTTTAAAATTAGGTACAAATTCCTATAATAGTTTCCTTTAATTTTTAATTATTGTTTACTCTTTTAATTTTAATTTTAATTTTATATTTATGTGATTTTAATTAATTTAAACAATAGAGAATTTTTTTTATTAATTGTTAGGCAATCTCACCAAAAAAATAGCCATGTGGCTGGTGAGATTCAGTTTTTTAAAATTTTCTAAGCTTTATAATAGTTTTTCCTCAATTTAACAATCAAATTGACGGACTTTAAGAGTAGGACCATCTTGATACCAAATAAAAAAATAAAAAAGAGTTGAAGGATGGTTTAAATGAAAATTTTAGTTGGTGGACTAAAATGATACTGGAACAATAGTTGGGGGATCATTGGGATCAATAACCCTTTTAGAGGAGGATATTCACCTAAAAATACGGTTTTGTCCATCGATTTCAAAGAATAATACACAGACTTTGATGGATTGACCATATTGGTACAAGATAAAAAGTTTAAGGATGTTTGAATTGAAAATTTTAGTTAGTGGACCTAAATGATAGTGGAGCAATAGTTGAAGGACCATTTAAGTCATTAACCCTATAAATTTATAAGTACCTTCTATGGCTTTTGAAATATTTTCCATACCTTAGTAGTAGTTTATTGAAATATCCCCTTTTCTTCTATGAGGATTTTAAATATAACTCAAATTCTTTATTTGCAAATCATTACTTGCGTGTTAAAATTTAACATGAATAGAGAAAAACAAACCTAAGTAGTAGTCGAATTTATATGAAACGTTTTTAGTGGTTCCAAACGCATTCTCCGTAGTCTCTTCTTATTTCCAAAAGTTTCTTCGCTCGCACGCACAAATCGTGTCGCGAAAAAGCCTTCGTCAATACTTTTTTCTTTTCTATAATTTATATTTCCTTTTATTTCACCATTTTTAATTTCTCCCGCTGCGCACTTTATAGAGCCGACCTTCCCAGTTCTACGGCCAGACGCTAACGTGCGCACCTCACACTCTTCGACAAATCCATTAACGCCACCGTGCTGGAGCTTCAGCGCGCACAGGTCTGACATCCCCAACCCATCTCCCTTCCTCTCATTAGGGCTTACTATCTATATTAAAAACCCTAGGTAGATTTTGTCTTTTTAATTCCTTTTCCTTTTTTTTTCTTTTCCAATTTTAGATTTTATCGATTAAGGACTTAAAGTAGAGACAAGCCATTGACAGAAGGTGGATAAGAGCGTACTCATTGGCAGAAACTTATCAATGATTTGATTTGGCATCATATTTGTGAATATCTACGATTTGATGGGTATTGGGATTTCTAGGCGTGGTTTCAAATTTTCGCTGCTGTAGTTGAATTGCTTGAGGAGAGTGCATGCGAAACATGAGCTTTAATTTTTTGAGAATAGAGAAGTGGAAGGTGATGATTGGTTTCCCCGATTTGGGCACTGAAGCTGGGCTAGGGTTACGGAAGACTGTATTCTCTTGAAAGCTACGGTTAACAAAATGGACGGAGAGGAGAAGAAGTCTGGATTTAAGCGAAGATCTAAGTTAATAGAGGCTAATATTAATTCAGATGATGATGAGCCAATTGGGTCACTGTTGAAGTTGAAGAGGCAGCGAAACCCTAAGAAGGTTAAGCCACGGTTAGAGGGTGGCAGCGAAAGGAGCAAGAAGGTTGAGGACGAAGAAGAGGATTTGGGGGGGCTGGATGATACCTTGGCAAGTTTGAGGAAGAAGTTGAAGGGTCCTAAGAAAGATTCTGGGGCTGGAACTATTAGGGGAAGGGATGTTGTACAGTCTTTGGACCGGTCCTCTAATGGGCCTGTGGAGGATGGGGGTTTGGATGAAAAATCAGTGTCAATGGTGGTAGAAAAAGGTCCGGTCATGGTTGATGATGGATCTGATGTGACTATCGATATAGAGGTAGAAAACAAATGGGGAAGGTTCTAATAGCTCTTTGGATCATCATCCAGAAGATTCATTATCAGCAATTTTCCGGAAGGCACAATCTGGTTTTACTAAGAAGTCTCGTACCTCTTCGAGTCCTAGAGAAAATAATGGTTCCCAGGTTTTGGAGGATGGGCTGAACCCTAGTTCGGAAGGTGTTACAGGAAACACCATGCCTGTGATGAACAATGAAGCCATAATGGATCCTTATGGTTCAAATTTTCAAGAGGGGCCATGCAACTCTGATAAAGTTTATGATGGAGACAGCAAACATTTGACACATAAAACACAAACTTTTGAGGATGGATTGAAGCACTGCTCTATGGTAGACTTAAGCACTCTGACGAAGTATGATGTAGAAAGGCGTAATTCGATTCCTTATCCAAAACAAATGGAAGATATGCATGGGGTTGGTGATTGTGACTCCAAAGGAGGTTTTACTGATGCCTTCTCCATTGAGTCAAAGGATGTTTTGGATATGTCCGAGGACAAACGCTTGATGTCCTCATCACATCTACCACAGAATTCCTTGACATACCATGTGAAGATGGAAGATGAGCTTGATTCTGATCGATGTCAAAACTTTTCCCAGCATACTCAACATCCGTTGTGTAGCTTTGCTTCTGGCACACTGAAGATGGAAGAAACTCGCAGTATTTGTAATGGTCTAATTTCTTGCACTGAGGAGCCAGGCCTTGCTTCACATTCTTTGCCGGAGGAAAAGGCTGTAATAGCTGATAGTCGGTTATCTTCACTTGATATCACTTCTAGTAGAGCCCTAAAACTTGGCTATGCTAACCAGTTGAATCACCAAGAGGAATCTTTTGAAACCTGTGTCCATTCAAACAAATCTACTGCTCCCATCCAGAAGGGTAGCTCTGCTATACGTCAAGATCTATCCTCTGATGAAGCATCCAAAGAGAGAAATGGTCCAGATCATGATTATCTCATCATTGATGAAGAAGCTGATGGAGCCTCTCCGCCTCTATGTACATATGAAAATGAGAGTTGCCCAGAAGACACAGTATCTCTACCTGATGTCGAAAACAAAGACACTAAGCTATCAGCTGTCCAGCGTGTAGTGCGCAATGTTAGAAAGCGTAGGCATGGAGACATGGCTTATGAGGGGGATGCTGATTGGGAGGTCTTGATAAATGATCAAGGTCTGGATAGTGACAATTCATTTAGAACAAGAGTGAAGTTTGATTCCTCTTCAAGTATTGGTACAGAGGCTGAAAGTGGTGAGGCTGCAGCAGTGTCTGCTGGTCTTAAAGCTCATGCAGTTGGTCCTGTTGAGAAGATCAAATTCAAGGAGATCTTGAAGCGCAGAGGTGGGATTCAAGACTATTTGGAATGCAGGTTAGTTATTAATTCTGAGACCCTCCTGTAAAATAACACCGGGTGTGTCATTTGAGTTGTATGCTTACTAGACACTAATGGTAGCTGCTAGTATTTTTTTTTACTTTGAAACTCTTCCTA